AATAGAAGTACAATGATGTACACCTGAAATTTATACAATGTTATAAACCAATGTTACTGCAATAAACAAAAAATTAAAAAAAAAAAAAAGCATCTTTTCAAATACCATGTCTACTTGGGCAAGGGAAGGAGAAGAAAAAATTAACAAATGGGACTTCAGACTAAAGAGCTTCCGCAAGGCAAAGGAAATCAGGAACAAAACGAAAGACAACACACCAACTTGGAGGAAATATTTGCAAATCATATATCTGACAAGGGGTTAATCTCCAAAATATATAAAGAACTCATACAGTTCAACAACAACAAAACAAACGGCCCGAGCAAAAAATGGGCAGAGGATATGAACAGACATTTTTCCAAAGAAGATATACAGATGGCCAACAGGCACATGAAAAGATGTTCAACATCGCTAATCATTAGGGAAATGCAAATCAAAACTACAATGAGATAGCACCTTACACCTGTCAGAATGGCTATAATTAACAAGACAAAAAATAAGTGTTGGAGAGGATGTGGAGAAAAGGGAACCCTCATACACTGTTGATGGGAATGCAAACTGGTGTAGCCACTGTGGAAAACATTATGGAGACTTCTCAAACAGTTAAAAGTAGAACTACCATACGATCCAGCTATTCCACTACTGGGTATTCATCCAAAGAACCTGAAATCAACAATCCAAAGAGATTTATGCATTCCTATGCTCATTGCAGTGTTATTTACAATAGCCAAGACGTGGAAGCAACACAAGTGCCCATCAACGGATGAATGGATAAAGAAGATATGGTATATATATACAGCGGAACACGACTCGGCCATAAAAAAAGACTAAATCATCCCATTGCAACAACATGGATGGACCTTGAGCGTATTATGTTAAGTGAAATAAGCCAAACAGAGAAAGACGAACACCATATGATTTCACTCATATGTGGAAGATAAACAAACACATGGACAAAGGGAACAGATTAGTGGTTACCAGAAGGGAAAGGGGTTGGGCGTGGGCATGAGGGGTAAGGGGGCACGTATATATGGTGACCGACAAATAATTTACAACTGTAATTCCACAATGTTATAAACCTTTATGACCTCCATAAAATAGAAAAAATTATAAATAAGAATAAAAATAAGTTTTCACATATTGAGATATATGGGGAAGGCATTGTGGTTTAAATCTGATTGGGCCTAAAACTTGTTTTTCCCAGAGCAGCCTGACTTATGGCCCACCAGACATGCATTGTACATCCGCTTCAAACATTGTCCCAAGCAAAGAGTCCACTCTTTCAAGACAGAGATGAATGTCTGCTTCTCTCTGATGCCAATACGAGTACTTCTTTGAAGATAAACTTTTCTTCCCAGGGAACTAAGTCCAAGTTGACCTGCTGGGTATGAGCTAAACTGTGGCAAAACACCTCCTTGTGACTTTGGGAAAAAAATTTTATTCCTGTCGTTCTTGATGTATGTTCTTTGCTCTGAAACAATATATAACCATGCCGTAAACCACACTTCCTCTCAGTGCTTTCTTCCGTGGGGAAGATAACACTTCTGGGCTAGTCCTCACATTAGGCTCAATAAATATCACACTATCTTTCTTATCTACAGATTGGTCATTGATTATTTGCATCGACACTTTCTCCCTCCTTCTCCACAGACCAGCCTGTAACACCTGCCAGCACCGCCCCACCCCACAATATATCCCAGGGTAGCTCCTCCTCATGTGTCAAAATCTGGACCCATCTGTTCCTGCAGAGGCCATGGAGCTGCTTGAATGGAATAGCACGTAGATCCGGTTTCAGGGCACAGAGGTAACTAGGTAAATTTAGATGACAGACAACCAGTCAAAGACAGAGCTGTTGTCTGCCAAATGCTCCCTCTGTCTACTGCTTTCTGAGACAATCAGGAAGCTTAGATTAGAGGTAGGACAAAGGGACCCACACCAGGACATCAGACTGCTCTAGTTAATCTCTAACACAACCCACCTTCACTCAGGCCCAGACTTTATTTGAATGAAGGAAGGACCAGAGCAACTCAGTCTTTGAAAGCAGGGGAGAGAGGAGTCCGCTGGCATTAGCAACGATGCATCAGTAGGGCCAGCTTGACTGGTAACCCCTGTGGCCACCAGCGTCCTTGTGTCTGGTCTGCACTAACCATGGGCCAGTTTCCCAGCTTGGGACCTCGGCACCTGCTTCACTTCCTGTCCTTTTTCCCTTAACCCTTTCACCAAAAGGGGAGGGCAAGAGAAATTCAACCCATTTGGCTCTTTGTTCACAACTTTCAGGAAAGGTTCCGCAGGAAAGGACCTTTCCCCACCAGGAGAGGCAAGTGCTGTGGACTCTCCACAGGTTTTGTTTATCTGTGCTGTCCTCCCCCATTCATTAGGAAAACTGGGCTTTGTTCTAGTAACTGGGTTTGTGCTGAGGACAAGGAAAGGTTTGTCCCAATGCCCACGTATCTCCCAGTGGGATGCTGTCTTTAGGCAGAGTCTGTGGTCAAGCCCTCGGGGGCTCAGAGGGCTGCACAGGGAGGGGTGCGGCCCATCTTCTCCCCACAGAGAAGCCACAGGCCTGGTCAGCCCCGGGGCCCTCTTGAGCACCCCAGCCTCAGGGGATGCTGGCAACCTGTGCTCATGGAACCGGGCAGGAAAATGGAAAGAGGGCACATTTCCTGGGGAAACTTGCCTGCCCATCAGGGAGCTCTGGAGGAAATCCTACTGGCGTCACCAGAGGCTTTTTTTCCTGTTCCAGCCACACCACCCTCCTGGTGGAACTCTCTATTGAGGCCAGCAGAGGGGTGAGCTACCTGCCAGGAGAGCACCTTGTGGTTTTCCCCAGCCAGCAGCCAGCTCTGGTTCAAGGCATCTTAGAGCCAGGGGTGAATGATCCCGCACCCCACCAACCCGTGCGCCTGCAGACCCTCAACGAGAGCGGTGAGCCCTCTGCACGGGAGCTTCCGCTGAGGTGGCCTCGCATCCTCCCACATACCCCCCCAACCCGGCTGACAGGCTGGTCCTGGGCCGGTGCTGGGGACAGCTAACCCTGTCCTTCCTGCTGAGTGGGCGGGCCACCCAAGCCCGCACTAAAGCACCTTTGCAAACAGTCCTCACTGAATGGCAGGCCGCCAAGAAGGGATGCTTCTTTGGGACTATCTGCCCAGCACCAGTGGCTCGGGAGTTTTCCCCATTCATTCTTTTGCCCACCAGCCACTTTTTTTGTTGATTGATTGGTTCATTTATTTTTCCTTCAAAATTTTAAGTGGTCACATCTATATACCAGGCAGGCCCTGGGCTACAAAAAGTAATGAGACTCAGTGTCTGCCCTCAGAAAGCTCACCACCAAGTACAGAAGGCAGACAAGCGAGAATATTCATAATAAGTATTATAATAATAATAACAGTAGCAGCTAGCATTTGTTGGGTAATTACTACATGCCAGCAATCTACGTGTATTGTCTCTTTAGTCGCCACAATAGATGTGTTTGTCTTGCTTGGTGACAGAATAGAGAAATGTGGAAACAGTGTGAAAAGTGTGAGTTTTGAAGGTTCCAGTCCCTGAGTCCTCACTTACTAGCTGTGTGACTTTGGACATAGGAGTTCACCTCTCAAGGCTTTCTTTCTCTGTCTCTAAAACAGAGACAACAGAGCCTTGCTTGCAGGATTGTTGTGAAGAACAAATAAGTAGACACATGTGCAGCCTTTACAATTCCTGGCACCAAATAAATGCAGGAGTGGAGGAATGTCCATTTCCTGCAGGCTAATGAGCATTTGTCCAGAAGGTCAGAGAGGGGGTCCATCACACCCTGAGAGTCTCCTCGGATCCCAGAATTCATAACCTCTTTGCATTTCATGGCATCTAATTTCACACTGCTTCACCACCGAGGGTCTCATTTACCTCCCCCTTCCCTGGGCGATGGGCAGGGACAGGCCACAGGTGACAAGGAGAGTGTGGCTCCTCCTGGCCATCCTCACCGGGGAGAAGATTTTGTCCTAGGGAGGGTCCAGAGCACCTCTTCCTGTGCTGAGGTGAGGCTGTGAGTCTACATGGTGAGCACAGCATGGGGGTGACAGGCCCCAGGAGACGTGAACTCATGAAGTCAGCGGTCACGGGCCCCCAGCCCAGAGAAATAGCTCCCTGGCCTTGGCTTCCTCAGTGATAATGACACCTCCAAAGACTGTGTCCCCCTAAAGGGAGTGGCCAAAATGGGAAAGTGGGGGTCAGAGAAGCAAAGTCTGTTGTTGTTCTCCACTGTACAGGAGAACGTGAGAGAGCCTGAAACTTGAGTTATGTTTCAGGGGACAGGAATGTCCTCAGACTGTAGGGACACAGGTGTGGTTCGTCTGGCCTTGGGTCTAGATGAAATAACGTAATACTAATACTTTCACCTACTGTTTACGGAGAAAATTGTACCTGACACTGTACCATTACACACACATATGTCAGTCAGTGCTCACACAAACCCAGAGAGGCAGGTCTTCTTATCACGTCCATTTCACAGAGCTGGACCCCAGGGCTCAGAGGGTTCAGTCAGCCAGCGAGTAAGTGGGGAGTCAGAGTCGGAAACCATGTCTCCTGGCTCCAGGGTCCATGCTGGGATGGCCCTGCACATGGCCTCTTGGGATTCCTTGAGACTTGTCACCTCACTTTGGGCTGATTCGCGGCTCACCCGGCACCTCTTGATATGGCACCCAAGGGGACTGTCGTCATGGGCATTTCTCAAAATGAACACCTGGCCTCAGTGGTGTACATCAGTCTTTGGTGGATTTAGTCACTGTGAGTCTGTAGTTCACCTGCTAAAGTTCAAGTATTCTGCTAAAGTTCGGTTCTGGGCCAGAGAGGGACTAGACTCTGGTGTACCGTTACTTTTATAGGATCATGTCAACTTGGGCGCCCTTTGGAGGGTTGTTGGTCAGTGTTCCCTGGCAGCCTTATCTCTGGGCCCCACCTTCCTGAACAAGAGTTGAGCACATGAGCCCTTTTGCTGTTCCTGGAGAACTTCAGTGTCTTCTCTCTCCTGCAGCGGGAAGGTGGAGGGTGTCTGCCCCAGAGGCCACAGTGGGCCTTTATTTTCCATCCTGATTTCTTCCTTCTCTATCCAGGCAGCTACTGTGTCGAGGACAAGCAGCTGCCCCCCTGCTCACTCCGCCAGGCCCTCACCTACCTCCTGGACATCACCACGCCCCCAACCCAGATGCTGCTCCGAAAGCTGGCCCAGCTGGCCACAGAAGAAGCCAAAGGCAGAGGCTGGAGACCCTGTGCTAGGTTGAAGGTCGGGGCTGGTGGATGAGGTAGGGACAGGGTCCCAGAGTCAGGGGAGCTAGAGCTCAGAGCTGTTCTTGAAACTCCAAGGAGGATCCACCCCAGCTTCCCAAAGTGAGACTTGTCAAAGGCGGGTGGGACATCAGCCGTCCTCTCGCATCCCATCTCCAGGACACAGCTGTATGGAGCAAACTGAATTTTTCTGAGCGTCTGCAGGATGCAACCAAAGTGCACTTCCTTAGAAATTATCTAGAAAAGGAGAGCCACTGTGTCTTGTGTGTCTTTATTTTCCCCAAACCTGGAACAAGCCTGGAATTTAGGAAGTGTTAGAGGATGGATGGTGATGATGAATGGGTAAATGGACATAGTGACAGACGGGTAGTTGGATTAATAAATTAATGAGAGAATGCATTAACTCACCTGCCACTTTCTAGGCCCAAGTCTTTGCAAAAGGTGTTGGATGTCATTATTACCATCATCGTTATCACTAATCATCTAGATTCCAGCCGACTCCAACGCGGTTATCCTATGGCTGCACTGTACTAACCTGGTACACTTTTTCTCATTTAATTCTCACAGCATCCCCACGAGGTAGGGTATATCATCCTCATCTCACAAAGGTTAAGTAATTGGGACAAGACCACAGCCAGTAAAGGCATCCAGTCAAGATTTGAACCCGGCTCTGTATGAATGCAAAGCCCTGTCCCCAGTTAGATTATAATAAAGTTTTGACTCCTGCCCACAAGTTGCTGACAGTTAAGTTCTCTGCACACAAGGTAGATAAGTGCTATTCGCTGGCCTGAATTCCTCCAGGACAGGAACTTTTTCCTCTCCAGCTTCGTCATCTCAGCACCCTGGACAGCGCCCGATACTTCAAAGTGTCTGTTGAGGGAGGGAATGAATAAAGGAATGAATGAATACCACACTGTGTCAGCCTCTTCCTGGTGTGGGGCAGGCGCCCTGAGTGGCTCAACTGCTCTTGGCTTTCAGCCCTCAGAGTACAGCAAGTGGAAGTTCACCAACAGCCCCACCTTCCTGGAGGTGCTGGAGGAGTTCCCGTCCCTGCGGGTGTCTGCTGGCTTCCTGCTCTCCCAGCTCCCTATTCTGAAACCCCGGTACTACTCCATCACCTCCTCCCGGCACCACACACCGACGGAGGTCCACCTCACTGTGGCCATGCTCATGTACCGCACCCGAGGTAAGGCTGGGGCTGGGGCTCTGGGGCTGTCCAACTCTGCTATTTACAGGCAGCTGTTCAACACCTCTGAGCTTCGTTCAAAAATTTTTTAGTGTATTCTATAATTATGATTTCAAGGTTCTATTAGGCACTGAAGGAAAACATTTAGTCTTTGAGACAACAATCGAAGACAATCTCCTCACCAGTTAAACACCCACCTTCCAGAGTTGTTAACAGCAAGAGGAGGTGTGTGGGAGAGATGACTATGAAGCAAGCACTGAGCTGACCCCTTTGTAAGTGTATTATTGGTAACCATGTGAGATGGGTACTGTGTGCATTTTACAGGTGAGGAAACTAAGGCACAAAGAGGTTAAGCCAGTTGTCTAGAGTCACACTGATGGCAAGTAATGACTGTGATTCTAACCCAGGTAGTCTGACTACTGAGCCAAGTTCTTAACCACCCCACTCCACTCTGTCCTGCTACTGTTGGGACGATTTAGTGAGAGCAAATGTGGAAAGCACCCAGGCATTAGTGGGAGCCCAGTGAGTCTTCATCTTCGTGAGAGTCCAGCTGAACACAGTGGTGATTCTGCCCGGATTGTTGACTCACTCAGCGATGATCTATTTCATCTGTCTCTGTGCTTGGCACCACGGTGGGTGTGGAAATATAGTGCATGAAGCCCTTGACTTCATGCAGTTTCCCAACCAGAAGGGGCAATGAAGAGAGAGCAGGGAAATCGATGATCATCCTTATGTGGGTGCTAAGAAGGAGAGCACAGGGGCTTGAGGGCAGAGGATGGGGGATGGACTCACATAGGCTGGAAGGTCCAAAGCTTTGTCCAGTAGGGTTGGATGAGCCGTGGCCCAGCTTTGCCCTCCGGAACTGAGTATTGCCTGGGTCGGCCAAGCTGGGAACTGGCCCACACCTCAGAGACCTTTGTGCTCTGAGCAGCACAATCACAAAGTTTCTAAAACCTGGGCAGAGACTCTATTTGCTCTGCCAGAGAACATACGCCCAGGCCAAATCTTCATCCTCAAACCAGGAGAGGAGAGGCAGGCACATCATGTGAGAGCAAGATTCCATGCAGAGGAAAACCAAAGGGACTTCTCAAGTTGGTGGGAGGTCCCCTTGAATGCTGGGCCATTGGGAAGGGAATGTAACACAGTGAAAGGTGGGGTTTCTACAAGCCCAGGAGGGGCCACTGGGGGAGACAGAGAGACGCCTGAGAGGACCGAATGCTCAGGAGGTTGTCCATCACCCAGGGTTCCTACCAGCAAGGGCTATACTCGTGGAGACGCACTGGGGCAGTGACTGTGGCCACCCTGAGGGGCCATTTTATGCTACTGTCATCGGAGCTGAGTGGTGGGCTGGGCGGGTCCCTGGAGAAACTCTTACAGGCAGCATTGGAGTAGGAGTCAGGGAAGCTGAGCTGTGACCTGCCTCTACTGCTGCCTGAGTGACCAAGTCACTTTCCCTCTCTGAGACTCAGTTTCTGCAGTGGCAACGGGAGAGGCTTGCACACTCTCTAAGTCCGCTCCAGCTTTCGCCAGTTCTGGGTGTATAGAGGGTGGATCTCAGAACCAGGAGAAAAACAGCCCCTCAGTAAAGCTGGCAGATCACCTGAGCTGGCTGTTGGAGGAGGCGCTGGGACGGCCCCGCACGGGCGTTAGGGGGCGATGTTGGTCAGGTCTGTACTATCCTTGCAGATGGCCAGGGTCCCCTGCACCATGGCGTCTGCAGCACATGGCTCAGCAGCCTGAAGCCCCAAGCCCCGGTGCCCTTCTTTGTGCGAAGATAAGCACCCCCCACACTCTGTCCGTTGTGGCACCACTGGCCCAAGGGAGTTCTGGGTTGAAAGGAAGGGATCTGGGTTTTAGTGCCACTCTGGGCCCCTTGGTCCATGAAGAAGGCATTGGGCTCACACTGGGCCTCTCCATTCTATCCCCTGCTACAGAGCGTGGCCAAGTCTCTAGCAGGGATAGAGAAGCCAGTGCTGGTGGAGCCCAGAGAACAAGGAGGCTCAGCCCTTTCTCATAAGGCCCCAGGGCGAGGTGACCATGTGGCTGGACAGGGCAATGAAGCAGCCTGCAGGACAGGGGAAATCTAATTTGAGCTCATCGTCCTCTCTACCTCCCAACACCATCTCCCCCAACCACACCCCCAGCTCCCCAGCCCCTGTCCTGCCTGTGCACCAGGCCAGAGTGTCTGAGGACTGGGGCCTCTCTCCTATGTCCCCTTCAGTAAAAGCAGCTTCCAGCTCCCCGAGAACCCCTCCCATCCTTGCATTCTCATTGGGCCTGGCACGGGCATCGCCCCCTTCCACAGTTTGCGGCAGCAGTGGCTCCATGACACCGAGCACAAAGGCACAGCTGGAGGTTTCATGTGGCCCCTCTCCCAAGTTTGCCTCAGCCTGTGTGGACAAGTGATCCGAACACCCTGGGCCTCAGTTTCCTCAACTGTAAAGTGGGGACAATCCTAAATCAGATGCCTGTGAGGAAGAAATGAATTTTCAAGTTGGGCGCCCAGCTCCTGAGGCCTTGAGCCGGGGCCGGCCCTCTGGTGGCCACCCTGGTAACTGCATCTCGAGGGGTCTTGCAGGGCTCCAAGGTGGTTGCAGGACCCTGGTGTTCCAGTGCCGCCACCTAGATGAGGACCACCTCTGTCGGGAGGAGACACTGGAGATGGCCCAGAAAGGGGTGCTGCATGAGGTGCACGTGGCCGATTGTTGCGTGCCTTGCCAGCCCAAGGTAAATGCAGCAGCTGCCCGCACAATGCCGAGAACGTTCAAAGCACGGAATATAGGGGGTGCCCTGGCTCCCCACAGACCCCTCAACCCTCTGAGCCTTCATCTCCGCAGCTCTAAAGAGGAGGCAGTCAGATATTACGTTCACTCTTCCAGGAGAAGAGACAGGCCCCGAGACGTTCAGGACTAAATCAAGGTCACCCAGTGGGTCAATCCCCAGTGCCCAGCCCCCTGAAGGTCCTCCTCCCGGGATACATGGCTGCCTGGGGAGAGGTAGTCCAGGCCAACTTCACGCTCAAGCACAGCAAGGCTGGAGGGAAGTGGCTGCTCAGACAGAGCCAATGACCGGCTCTGCTGCCCCGGGGGGCACTTTGCCCCAGGAGCCTGGGGAGTCAGGACAGACTCTTGACTCAGCCCTTGTGAACTTGCCCCATCAGAGCTCCTCCCCGACCCAGAGCTCCATGCCATTGCTGGGGTCACTGGGCATCTTGTGTGGAACAAGAACAGAGAGTCCCCGATGGACTCCTGACTTCTGTGTAACTGGGGAGCCCAGGGCTCTGTGCCCTGTACTGAATGACAGTGGGGATCCCACAGACTGTCTGCACTGAGGCCCCCCTCTGTGGAGAGCAGGCAGCTGGGCCTCACTGGGCAGGGGAAGTGGCTGGAGTGATGGCTCTTTGAAGATGGTGAGCTGTCAGTAAGTCCGGGAGCCCCATTGAACGGTCAGCTCTTCGTGGCCAACGTCCATCTCTTCAGCCTCAGCCCAGGCCTGCGCTGGGCAGGGTGTCAGTGCACTTCCTCATCCCAAGCCTGGTCCCGTGTGAGGTCCTGGCTGGGACAGTGCTCACTCCACACCCAAGGGTGCAGCCCATAGTGCCCCCTGCCCGCCTCCCTTTGGCCAGCAGGCTTGACTGCAAGCTTCGTCCCAGCAGCAGGGCCCGGACCCACCGTCTCCTCTGGTTTCAGGTCTACGTTCAAGACATTCTGCGACAGCAGCTGGCCGGTGAGGTGCTTCGTGTGCTCCATGAGAAGCATGGCCACCTCTGTGTCTGCGGGGACGTGCGCATGGCCCGGGACGTGACCCACATCCTGAAACAGCAGGTGGCTGCCAAGCTGAGCCTGAGTGAGGAGCAGGTCGAGAACTATCTCTTCCAGCTTAAGGTCCGGCGCCTGGTGAGTGGGCTAGGGATGGAGGTCAAGGGCACAGGCCAGGGAGCCAGAACTCTAGAGTCAGGCTCAGAACAGTCCCGGACCCAAAGGAATCCTAGAGGTGGCTAGAGGTCAGAGCTGGACGGGCAGTGAGAGGCCTGAGTGTGCGTCCCCGTCTGGTTGCTCAGCTCAACAGAGGCAAACGTCTTGCTTTGCTACAGGACTTCTCAGAGCCTCTAACATGCTACGTGCATCATGACACTTCAAGCCTGGGAGCAAGTACACAGCATCTCCCAAACGTATTGATCTCAGAGCCCACATTTCCTGGAGCATCTGGTGGGATGAGCACTAGGCAGGATTTACTATCTGTCTAAAGCTTTGGGAGATGTTTAGACCGTTCACACCAGAGCAGGTGCTGATGGTGGGGAAAGAGCCCCGGACAGGTCAAGCATAATCTAAGCACGGCGGTGGGAAGGGAAATGGCTCCTGAGTGTACGTGTGGTAGGGAAGCGGGGAACCCCAGGGCCTCGTCCAGCCTGGACCTGATGAATGAGAGGCGGCTGGACCAGCAGAGCTGACACAGTGGTGTCTCTCTTCCCTTAAAAAGCCGGAAGCGCTACCAGGAAGACATCTTTGGTGCTGTGGTTCCCTACAGGCTGAAAAAGGATGGCGCCGCAGGGCAGCCCAGCGATCCTAGAGCGCCATCAGCCCACAGGAAATGTTAAAGCTGCTGCCACAGAATTTAATGACGGAGCCAACTCTGGATTACGGCCTCGAGAGACGGAGGGAAGTTATAGCCGCAAGCCTCACCACTTATTTCCCCATGTCCTTCCCCCCAACTCTTTACTTGACCTGCTACCAGGTAGCAGCCTGGACTGAGTGGAACCTCTTGTCGCCCTTTAGCCCACCCTCCCCTGAATAATGAAGAGTTGGGGCCTCCTTGGTTCCTTGGAGATGCTATCTGCAATGCCATGCGCAGCCAGTGGGTGAGGATGGAACTGGCTTCTGATGGCACCAGTTTTAGTGACCACCAGGAGGCGCTGTCGGACCACTCTGCATTTCCTGACCCTTGTACAGTTATTTCAGCCTCTGTATTTAAAAAAAACAAACCCCAGTCTGCTCCCAACGGGCACTTGGGTGTTCCCTGTATGACTCCTTGATGGAGATATTTCTATGAAATGCATTTTATTTTAACCACATTGTGTATGCAGGTGTTTGGTAGAGAAAGCAGCCCTAAATAATATAGGACTGGGGATTCGTGGAGGCCACATCTGGACAAAAATCCCCCACATCTGGACATAAATCCCCCACAACGGGACATTCCGGTGTGGCCACTCTGCTTCTCTGAGATGGTCCCCAGGTGGGGGCAGCATGCAGAGCTGTGTGCACATGTGACAGCCTGGGAGCGGGGCGGGAGCACAGGCTAACCTGCAGGGCTGAGCTGACCACCGCAGGAGGCATCTCACACGGGGCCATGGAGGTGCCGCGCCCCCACGAGGCTGGTTCTCCAGCGAGGGTCTGGGCCACAGCCCTGTCGTGGAAAGTCACCGTGTTTGCTCTGGGGCCTCCTGTGTCGTAGGGTTTGGCCAATAACATTGGCACCTGGTGAGAAAGCAGGTGAGGTCGGGCTGCGTGTCCAGGACTCGGCAGGGAGTGAGGACACACGTCTTCCCTGGGGAAGCCTCCTCAGGGGACGGAGCCATGTCCCTTCTCCCGTGAGAACAGGAAGGACTCAGCCAGGGGCGAAGTGGGGGTCTGGCAAAATCTGGCCCCCAGCTCAGCTTCGGCCTCTGTGTCATTGGCTCCCTGCCCACTTCCCCCTCCCCGCTCCTCCTCAGATGAGGGGAGGGACATGCCAACCTCCAGTGTCCCAGCAGTGCACCCGGGACATGGTCAAGAATGCAGTCACATAGCCCGGGACCCCTCACGCTGTACCGTCACACAAACCCCCTGGGGTCTGGTTACAGTGCAGACGCTGATTCAGGACGGCTGCCCCGGGGCCCGGGCTTCTGCATGTCTAACAAGCTCCCAAGTGTCTGGTGCTGCTGCTCTGAGGACTGCGCCCTGAGCCCCAGCCTGGTTCCCGAGGCCCTAGGTTCTTGATGGAGGGGGCAGGACATGTGAGCATCATGTGGACCCAGAGCCTGGCCCCCTGCACTGGCCCCACACTGGCAGAACCCCACACACTGAGCCACTTCCCCACCACACCCCACCAATAAGGCCGGGTGACCCACAGCGGAACCCCACAAACAGGCCTCTCTTCTGAGTCAGATTCTCCTGATCGCACTGCCACCTTCTCCCACTGGGACACAGGGTTCTGAGGAGCTGACCCTGCCATCTGGCCTCCTGGCCCTGCCTCGGCCCCCACGGGCTCAGGCTCAGTCCTTGGCCTGTCTCGGGAGCACAGGGCTGTTTCTCGGGTTCCCCTCTGTTCCCAAGCTTCCTGCGTCACAGATTCCTGCCCAGAGGCCTAAGCCCAGCCGCTTTCTCCCACATATTTGTGGGGTTTGTGGGGGAACGCAATGGGAGCAGATGTGGATGTCAGGACCCCCCAAGAAAATGAGCCCACACTCTCTCCTCCCTCTCCCCTCAGCCAGGACCTCCCCAATTCCAGAGAGTCCAAGATGTCTCCAAACGCATAATAAACCGCAATCATCCCGCACAGGTGTGCCGTCAAGCGTTTTTCTATTTCTCTGAACGACACCGGGAAGGGGAGAGCCCCTGCTGAGAAGGTCCCGTCAGTGGGTGGACACCAGTGGGGTGTCCTCAGGGCAGCTTTCCTGGAGGGGGAAGGGTTGGTGTAGGTGCGGGAGAGGCGGAAGGTGGGAGAACGGGGAGGGGCCGAGGACACCGCCTCCCCCGTGGAGGACACAGCTGGTGGCCTGGGACTGAGGTGGAGCTGAGTGGGGCGGGAATGTCGTTGAGGGGCAGATGGGGTGCAGGCTTGGGCTGGGTGCTTGGGAAGGCCCAGGACCTCCGTTTCTGCCGAGGGGACTGACCACGGGGCTTCAGCCTGCACGGACCACCCCTCTCCTCGGATGGTAGGACTTGGGCAGCTGGAGCCCCAGGTCCCGCCCCAACCGAGGAAGGCAGTCCCAGCCAGCTGCCCTCGCCACTCTAGGCTGGCTGCAGCCTCAGCAGGGTCAGACAAGGACGGGGTCTCCCCAGCAGAGATCCTCGGCAGGCTGGGAAGGGCTGGGGCAGGGACAGGGAAGGTGGAGGTGATGAGCAGTCCAGACAGCAACATGCCCCAGCCCCGTCACCAGGGCAGGGATCCCGCCTATGTCCGCACATGGGTCAGGTGGATGTCACCCACCACCTACAGGTTGCTAAGGGCGGGCCGGTTCCACAGGTGGTGGTGGTATTCACACAGGTGCCCACCATCCATGGCCACCCTGAGGCAGTGGCCTTCACACTGGATCCACACCTTGACGGAGAGACCACGTCATTTGCACTCCACTTGGAAAGTCCTCAACCCCAAATGCAGGCTCGTGTCTCTCTCCCTCCTTCCTGCCTTCCTCAACATTAATCAAGGGGGCCCCACACCTGCCCTCTAGCCACTCTGAAGGACTCATTCTTCACTCAACACTCCGAGTGCTCTCCTGCCTGTACTTTTGCATATTCTGTTCCCAACGCCCAGGATGCCCTTCCTCCTCTGCTCCCCACTCTGCACACCTGGCCCACAGGGATAACTCTAATCACCCTACAGGATTCTCCCCCTTCCCTCCAGGAAGACGAGCCTTCCCTGCCTTCCCTACCTTCTCACGCCCTCCTAGCCGAGTCAGCTGCCCCCACAGGCCATGGCCCCACTGCCATCCTCATTCTCCAGCTGGACCCTGAGCCTCCAGGGGCAGAAATGCTGGCTTCTGCCATCCATGTCCCTAGTACCCGGCACACAGGAGCGCTCCGTGCCTGCACTCCTGCAGCAGCAGCCTCCTAACTTGTCTTTTCCATCCCACACATTCTCCAGGAGGCTGTCAGAGCACGTCTGTGAAAATGTCATCATTCCCATCACACTAGCTGACCCTCACACACTTAATGCACACCAGACACTGTCCCCAGCATGTCACAAACACGATTTCACTTCATTCTTACACCTCTATGAGATGATGTTATTACTAGCCCATTTTTTAGATGAGGAAACTGAGGCACAGAACTGTTAAGTCACTTGTTCAAAGTCACACAGCTATCTATATATCACAGTACATGGCCCTCTGGCTTGACACACACCAACACACTGTATTAAAATCTAAACTCCTTTCCATGGACCTCAAGGGGCTACATCAGTCATTTTCAACCCTGGTGGTAATGTGTCAGGGTGTATTTACAAATACTGAGGCCTCGGCTCACCCCTGGTTGGCCCAGGCCGGGCACAGCCATTGAGTTTTCTTCTTTAAGCTCGACAGGGGATTTGACTGCTTAGTCACTGCTGAGAACACCTGCTCTGTGTGAGCCGGGCCTCAGCTGTGCCACCCACCCCTCTCTGTCCCACTTTCTCCGGGGAAGCCCCTGGCCCCCTAGTTCCAGGACAGGCCACGCCCATGACTCTCTGCCTTTGCAAAAACAGCTGCTCCCTCCACTGCCCGCCTGAATGCACTCCGCAGATCTCTGGGAGGCGGGGTCCTTCTACCGTGGAGGTCTCAGCTGCACGGTGGCCTCCTCGGAGAGCTGTCCCCGTCTAAGGCAGCACGGCCCCTGCCCCAGGCTCGTGCTGTCCCCTTACTCTGTGTTGCCTTCTGCAGAGAACCTGCTGTCATCTGCAAGGACCTGTCCAAGCATCTGTGTCCTTGTTCCTCTCCCACATGAACCGTCAACTATGAGGGGGCAGGACCTCGTCTGTCTGCTTTGTGGCTGTCCCCCCCGCTCCTGGGGCACTTCCTACACAACGTGGGCCCTGATAGAACAGCTGAGAAATGACTGTTGACTGAATGAGTGAGTGAGTGACGGAGTGAGTGAGTGGATGAGGAAGGACCCTCATTCTTGGGTTCCATCTGGCGCTGATCAGCTGTGTGACCTCAGGCGAGTAACCTGCATTGTGAGTCTGTTTCCTCACCTGTAAACAGCAGATCCCCTACCTGCCATACGTGGGAGGAAATAGTAACATAATAACAACAATGGGTTGAGCACTTTCTCTTCTTCTGGGCCCAGCCCTCACCCAGATGCTCAGCTCCCATCTCGTTCCAGGGGCCCCCAGTGCGCCCGCCCCCTGCTCTGTCTGCCCCATGGGAGCCCCTCTGAGTGCAGCTCACCGAGAAGCACCAGCCCCGGGTGAAGGGCAGTTTTTGGGACAGGCTTCGCTCCCCAGGCCCCCAAGAGCCATTGATCGGCGTGTTGCGGACCACAGTGTTCTGATCGAAACGGGGATTCAGGTGGAAGGCGATGTCACTAACAGGGCGCAGGTTGATGTGGAACCTGGGGGTGGGCAGCTCACATGGACCTCCTCTGCCCACTGAGCTCTGGGTCCCTGGTCCTCCCCAGCCTGCCCAGAGCCAGGGGGATGGCCAGAATGACCTTGGGCTGTCTCTCTTCCCCGAGAACCCTGGCTTACCTCTGAGCACTGGGCAGGACGGTGCCCGAGACGATGATGCTCTTGGAGGGGAACAGCTCACCCGGGATGCTGGTGAAGAAAGGCAGCGGCTGTGGGGAGGAGAGGGCCAGGTCAGCCCCAGCAGACAGAGCAGCAGCCACTGCAGGGGGACCTTAGTGCCGATTTCCATGAATCTGAACTGTCAAATGAGTTTGACAAGCGTGCCTGTGAGTAGCACGTTTTCAAGAAAGAACTCCGTGGTATCTTTACTTGGTTCAGTAAATGCCACATGAAAATATCCCAGCGTTCCTCAAATGAATGGGCTTAAACTGTCATGAAAAGACCTTTGGCCACACACGACAGGACACTGGGCTGAGAGGGGAGGCCACATATATGCCCATGGTGAAGGGACCGTTTTAAACGTGAAGCGCCTGTCAATAGTCTCCTCGTTTACTCGGGTGTTTGAGGAACTTCAGCCACTGGAGGATGCCTCACTGTTGTCACTGCCCCTCACCTCCCGCCCTGCCCACCGCAAACCACACCCCCGCCCTCCCTGGAGCACACTCACATAGGCTGGGTTGGGATATGCCGGAGGTGGGACTGCGGGATTCTGTTGAAAAGGGACCAGGAAATTCAGGTGGGAGTGACACACACACGGGTCCCACACATTCCAGAGGGGATGCTCCACTGTGACACTGAGGTCGTGAGGCTTTAGCCCTTGGGTTCTCCATCACCTTCCCTCTCATGTCAGCCTTGGTGGGACTTCCTGCCATGTCAGACCCCATCACAGTCACCTGCCCCTCCACCCACGGCAGCCCCACCGACTCCAGGCCTCCCGTCTGCTCTGCACTGGCAGGAGGAGGAGCAGCAGTGACACCCTGGGGGCTCGTCCTTGGATGCAGGGCTCCTCTCCCAATGCTGGACCCTGCACTCCCCCCCAGCAACAGAAGGACCTGTTTTCCTGCTGGTCCCTAGGGGACCTGCCTCTGGGGCCACTGGGTGAGTCCAGCCCGTGCCAGGCTCTCTGCTGTCCCAAGGAGAGTTTCATTCCACGTCTCCAGAGCAGAGGGCCCAGCCCCCGTGTCCCCATCCCCTTGCTAAACTGCTTTCTGCCCGACTCTGGCACCAGAGGATTCAGTCCTTGGTGAAGGAGGACACGGTGGGGCTGTGAGCTGAGCAGAGCTTTAACACTTACCGGGTAATTCGGTTCAGGGGCTCTCAGCACCTTGTGGCTGATTGTTTGCTTCTGGAAGAAAGAAACCCCTGTTTTAACCAGCTCTCACCAGCATGAAGACCACCACCTTTCACCACTGGGCACCACTTAACACAGTCCTCTGTGCTGGGTGAATCTTGAGCAGGTAAGCAGCCCTATGGCCCTGGCTAGACCTCCAAAACGGGAGGACAGGGGTGTTTCTTCTCTCAAGGAGACGAGGCAGGGGCAAAGGTTTCCTCTGAGAAGAAACATGGCTGCACTCTGGGCTCTGGCCCATCTTTCTTCTCAGGGAGTGTCTCCAGCACAGCCTCACTTGGCAGGAGGCATTGAATGTGGGGCCTCGCTCTTCTGGGGCCGCCCACAGACGGCGGAGGACTGAGCCCACAAGTGCGATTCAGGGCGTTTCCCAACTCATCAGGGCCACCCCCACCCCCACAGCACCACAGCCAAGGAGAGGGTCAGGGGTCTGCCCCACCCTCCATATGGGAGAGGCCCGATGCCTGGCCCTGCCTCCTCCCTTCAACCCACAGGAAGATGCAAAATGAAGAGGTTCCCAAGAGAGAGCAAGGGACTTAAAATGGGAGCTGAGCTGGCGGCCTGATCCCTGGAGACGGAAGGGATGAGCAAGTCAAAATGGCAGTTGACGTCGGTGCCACACGAGGGTGAGACCACGGCAGAAACTGTGGTCAGAAATGCCTCCCCTGACTCCCCCTCGCCTCCGTCCTGTCCCCTCTCCTTCCTGAGCCCGAGGCGCCCAGAGGTCCCCGCCCTCCCAGGTGCTCTCTGGTTAGGAGGGGGCGGGGCCGGGCTGGAGGAGGGGACATGCGCATTGGCTCCTCCAGAGGGAGAGGAGGACGAGTCAGAGGTAGACCCGCCCGCTTCCCTTAGCTCCCACGGCTCAGGGCCGCTTTACACCCGGAAGGTGAAGACTAGCGTCTACTGAGCGCCTATCGCGTGCCGGGCTCGGCCTTCAGTGCTTCACGAGGGAGGCGATCCCGGCTCCTGTTTCCCTAGGGAGGCAGCCAGGCTCAGAAGGGCTAAGCAACGTGCCCAAGCTCGCCCAGGTAGCAGGGGACAAATGCAACATGGTGCCCAGTCTGTCTGGTTGTGTCCCCCGCACCCTGTCCTGCCCAGGCCAGGGCCCAAGTCGGGCTGCCCTGCAGGGCTCCCTGGAGCTCCACAGTCCTGCAGTCAGCGGAGGAGGAGGTGAGTGCCCGAGCGGGACAGTGATGCGCCCCAGGACGGCTGGGTGGAGAGACACCCCTTCCCCCCACCCATCACTCGAGGAGCCAAATGAGGAGCCCTTCCTGTCCTCTTCCTGTCCTGGGCCCTGTCCCCCCAGCAGACTGATCTTCCTGCCCTGACTGACATCCTCTTCTACTGACAGTGCAAACCACATTCCACATTCACTTACACGGTCCCTCCAGTGTGCCCGGCACTGTGCACAGTGCTGCGGGGACACAACTGAACAGGCCACAGTCCCAGATGGCAAGGGTATGGGTGGAGGGAAGGAGTGGGTGGAGTGACGGGGACAAATATGTAAGCACAGTTACACTTGGGCTTGGTGACTGGCACGGAAAAGAGATATACAAAGTCCAATGGGACACGGTAGGCCCGGTCGGGAGGGATCCAGTGATCTGCCAGGCAGGGAAGATGCCCCTGAGGAGAAACATTTAGGCAGAGCATTGAGGGGCCATTAGGGGTTAGATGGGGGTGAGGTGGCAAAGGGTGCCTTCAGCACCGGGACAGCGGATGCAAAATCCTGGTGGCCCCAGAGAGCCTCGAGGGAGCAGTGGAGGCTGCCTGAGCTTCATACCGGAGGGCTGAGGCCGGGAGATGTGCTGGGGCAAGACTGGGGAGGATGCTGCACGTCCTGCTGGGGAGTTTGGCTTTCTTTAGAAGGATGTGGGGCCTTCAGGATTTTTAAGCAGGGAGAGCACGCGAGAAGATTGGCTTATAGGACCGTCAGTGCCTTGTGGGTGGGTGTGAGGGGAGTGGGGAAATGGACAAGGGTCCTCGTGGTGAGGGATCAGGTGGCCTGGACCAAGGCAGTGGCTTCGGGAGGGGAGGTGGTGGTGCTCTGGAGAGAGATGAAGGGGGGGAGGGAAGAACCAAGGATGACTGTGGGGTCCCCACTCTGGGAGCCTGGTGGAGGGAGACAGGGAATCTTTGATGGGGCCTGTAGGACATCCACACTGAATCTCTGCCTGGCTCTAGTTGTCTTTTTAATTCTTATGGTTATTTGTTTATTGCAGTAGGTCTGTCTGATCCTAGCTCACCTGGGGTGTTATTTAAATATGCCTCAAATTGTTCATAGGGAACAGAGGAGAGGCGACCTCGGGTTGCACATGGAGGGGAGGGGAACATCTACCTTCTCACCGGGAAGCACAGACACAGATATACTCATCCCCCCACCCTCACTGCTCCCCCATAATAGACCCTGGATAAAGGCTGCAACAATGTTGCCAAAAAACAAATCTTCTCAAGGACCTTAATGGATCAATGGCTACAGAAGAGGAACAGAATTAACTGGAACTTTAAAGACCCAGGAGGCCAAAAAACACCCTGGAGACTTATCTGGTTCTTATTTCCTGGGTAAAAGAAGCAACAGGTGCCCCTCTGGGTGCAGGCGAAGGTGTGTAAGGAGACTGCAGCCATCAGTAACACCCTTGCCAGGAAATGATCCTGTTATCGCTATTATGGCCTTGCTCGGCCAGATCTCAATGTGTGTGACTATTTAAGGCTAGTCACCATGGCTGCTAGGGCTAAGGGGACAGGCAGTGGGAGCGATGAGAGGAGAGCTCCTGCTCACCTGGAAATGGGAGCTCTGCACCAGGACGCTGAGCTCAAAGGGACTCCCCCTCTGTAAGGGCATTGGCGTCTTCCTCTCCTCAGGCCCCCAGCGTCCTTGCTGCTTCGTGTCGCCGACCACACACACCACCTCTTCAAACCGTGGGTTGAAGTGAAGGGAATGTCATTGTCACAGCAGCCAATCTGAAAGTTGACGGCAAACCTAGGCGAGGGAAATCAGATAGTCACCTGTAGCCTGGCTCATGCCAATGGCAGGACCAGGAGGGCCTCGCCTTTGCCTGCCGTCTGTCTGGGAAATTGCCTGTGATATGCGAACCGCAGTCTGTCGCCATCCTTTCTGTTCCCCTAATTAGCACTTAGTGTGTTTTTGTGCAGTTATTGCATTTTGCCTTTATAGTATGATTTTCTAAAAATAAGTAGAAAATAGGTAAAGAAAAGTGTTGATGCTAGCGACAAGAAGCGTAGGTCTTGGAAAGTAATTACAAATTTGTGTCAAAGATGGATGTTGGGTAACGTGCCTAGAAGAGCCTTCAGCACCCAGTGGACACTGGTTGGAGGCTGGCCCATGTCTGCTCAATTGGGAAAGAGGAGAACAAATTTAAAGAACATGTGAAACTGATGGGACTGTAGCTACAAAGACAGAGTCTAAAAGGGGGGACAAAACCAAAAAATGAATAAAATAAAATAAAAGGGGTGGCATAGAATAAAGATGACCTCTCCAGGCATGACAGCTTTCATCATATTACATGTGATTACAAGTTGAAATTTCCACTATAACCAAATGAGGATTCCGAAATAGATGAGGGCAGTTACAGGAAATAAAGAAAGTCACCTTTTGCAAGTCGGGCTCACAGTGTGCAGTGTTCAACCCTGCAACATAATCATCTGCCTCCAGGCTTGCCTGCTTCTCTGTTAGCCTGCGAGCTCCCGTCATCCCTATGTCCACGGGGAGTCTGTGTTAATGGTGGGAGCACGCTATTGGCAGAGGGCAGTGGTGCCATTCAGTGTTGGCAGAGGCCGGGCGCCACTCATCTGGCATCTCCACGTGCAGGCAGCTGGGAGGGTGTTGGGTGAACCAACCTGAGCGGACAGGTGCCGATCTTTACTAAGGGGCAAGGCTGCAGAGAAGCCACAGTTCCAAGTACCTGGTTCCACTGGAGGCTAAAACGGCCCCACTGACAGGGATCTCAAGTCCCTCCTGGAGACCCCCTTGGATGATCCCAGAGAAGGAGACAACCTGCAAAGAGAAGACAGATTCTCCTCTGAAGCTTCCAGAAGGAAAAGCCTTGCTGACACTTTGACTTTCGATTTCTGACCTCCAGAACTGACAGAACAAATTTGTTTTGTTTTAAGCCTGGCCAGCCAGGCTGCTGTTGAATTTGGACCTGCGTGTGTATGTGTGCATGTGCATGTGTGTGTGTGTGTGGGGGGGTGTGTGTGAGTGAGGGATCTTAGCAGGAAACAACAGCACTCGCTTTTGCTCCGCATGGCACAGGAGGATGGGTTTTTGCTCTGGTTTTATGGCCCCACAGGCCTGGGTTTGCCTCCTGCTCCCTGTGTGAGTTGGGCAAGTCACTTGAGCTGTCTGCACCCCAGGCTCATCCGTGGAGCAGTGACACGACAGCACCAGCCTGGCAGTGTTCTCCAGAAGATTAGATGTGATGCCATGGAGAAGGCCTTGGCTTGCAGGCATTGACGGTGGCAGGTGTTTGCGTCTGGAGGAATTAGTCTCTGTGCTGGGTCAGAATTGCTCTCTGCTTCTGGCCGGGCCTGGAGCCTGAGAACATTTTCCTTCCCTTCCTATCCAGAAGTCCAGACAGCAGAGCCAGGCCCTACAGGCCACAGGGTGGGCAGCCTGCTTCTGGAGGCCCCATGTCACCTGAGGGCACCCAGCCCTGCTGGCAGAGGGAGCCCATGTGCAGGAGGCAGTGCGAGGCTTTCGCCAGAGGACGCTGCTGCCCCAGACGTCCCGAGGCCCTTCTGGTGGCCCACCTTCCTGTCTGTGTTATCTCGTTATCCTCACAACAACCCAGGCCATGATTAGTGGCACCTCTACAGATGAGGAAACTGAGGCACAGAAAGGCTTGGGAACTTGCCCAAAGCCACACAGCAGGTGAGTGACAGAGTGGGGTTTGAACCCCAGCACCCATGCTTGTAACCACCACACAGGCTTCTTCTCACCATGAAGCACAGAACACCCTCGCTCCTGGCTCACCAAGTGCTTCCCGGACCAAACAGCGAGTCCTATGCTGCCTGTGGTCGCACCTTCCGTCCTGGCCCTCTGAGGGGGCTGGGACTGAGCAGAACAGCTGGGCCGCCAGACAGTCCCACTGCACTGTGGAGGCAGCAGCCTGGTTCCTACTCCTGGAGGTCAGTGGGTCACCAGGGGGCTGCGGGCATCTGTGGGGACTGCACCTGTCCTCTTTCTCGCCCCGACTCCAAGGCCGAGTTTTAACTCTGTGCTGCCCGTAGGAGGATTGTCCTTCTGATTTGAAAAATTTGGCTTTTGAATTCAAGGATTGGAAAGTAAACACTAGTCACCAGGATAATGAAACGGCAGGGCCTGACTGGGGCTGCAGGATCCGCCATCTGACAGAGACTGCCAGCTCCACCCGGGCCAGCACTGCCCAGTGCCTACAGCCCCGGGACTCACCGGGGTCATGTAGGGAGGCTGGGTGCTACTGGCAATCTCTCCACCACTCTGTGGCTACCACTGATTTTCACACCAGCCAGGCAGTCATCTACACTGGGGAGGACTCAACCAAGAAATAGAATCCAACGCTGTTTGTTGCTAAGCCATGGGCTTGCTCTGCTCGCCACGATCTGAGCCAATTAATCACAATGAGTTGGAGGTTGAGAAAGGAAGCTTTCACATGGTTAGCCAGCATAACCAGAAAATGGCAGACTAATGTCTCAAACAAACCATTTTAAACACTTGCAGAATCTTGAGGCAGTTATATAGGGAAAATGGGCAGTAAGGAGGGGCATTAGAAACGTCAGCCTTCAGGCAAGATGGACTCCTGGGTCCGCATTGTTTTTTTCTTCTGTCAGTGATGATGAATATCCTACAGGTGTTCCTTCCTCTGGAAGGCCTTCTTGTTCCTTGGGAATATTTGTTACGTTTGTTAGGAACAAAGCTGTCAGAGGACCTCAGCAGGGGTATGTCAAAATCATGAAAGCTTGTAGTAATTCATAAGGATTACATGCTAGAAGGGTTTTAACTATGAAAGGGTCATTTATCATGACAAGATGGCCTCACTTACGTTCACTTACAAGGTGGCAGTTATTCAACAGGGAGGAGCCAGGAGCAAGAGGAAGTGGATCTGGAGAAAGAGAGAAGGTAGAGTCCTGGGGAATAAGGGGCGAGGGGGGGAAGTGCGAAGAGTGTAGTGGACGTTCCTCAACCCGGTGACCCTTCCTTCCTCTCTTTTGTGAGCTCCACCCCTGAGACTGAATCATATTTGGTTCCTAGAGGTTCAAAGAGCCTGACCACACTGACACGACAGTGAGTTTCTAGACAATACCGCCCATTGTATGTAACTGTCTCCTGAGCATGCTTGGGCAGTGTCCAGAAAACAGTGGGGCTACTTGACAGTGCCCATGTGGTTGGACTTTGCCTGTGCTCATGGTGGTGGCCGCAGTGGGAAGGCCTGGTTATACCCGTTTTACACACAGAGAAGCCGAGGCTCAGACTCTAAGGGACACGCCCAAGGTCACACTGCTCACTAGCAGCAGCCTGACCTAATAAGGATATTTGGGTTCTCAAAAAAATGTTTCTCCCCTTAAAATTCTATTTTTGATATAAAAACATAATCACATAGAAAGAAATGTTTTGTAAATACAAAACATCAAGATAGAGATTGTTCTCCTAGAGTACTGTGGTTCCCTGGCAGCTTCTGAGCCCCTTCTCTATGAATTTATCTCCTTCCTCTCTTCTCCCTCTCTTCTCCTCTCTCTCTTGTTTCTGGGTTTTAGAATGGAGAGAGGAGAATCTTGGGGTTAATAGGTTAATAGAACCTATTATAGAATAGAAGGTTAATAGAACCTTCCATGTGACATGAGGGTGGGGGAGACATGTTAAATAAACCGTCCTTAATTGGCTTTAGCACCCAGTCAGGGAACATGATGGACTGAAAGAGACTAGCAGGATAGGCTTGGTTGGGGAGTGTGTGGGGGCAGGGAACAGTGCAGTCAAGCAGGTCCCTGCAATGTACCAGAGAGAGACCCACAGGCCCCAAGCTGGGGATGAGCAGTTCAGAGTCATACAGGCACCAGCAGGTAGAAGGCACCCCAGGGCCGCACATCTGTCTGCACCCCTTTCCTTCGTGCACCTTGTTCGACATACCATAATTTGCAAAGAATGAGTTGATCTTGTTGGACCGAGTGTTTTAAAACCTGACATTTTTGACAAGCTTCCCCCCAATTCAAATCCTAAATGAAGTCTTTCTTTTGACTTAAAAATTTCTCTGAGAATTTTCAGAGGGCGCACTTAACCGTTTGTGCCACCTGGCCGGCCCCTCGAGGGACAATATTTTGATCATCAATGCTTTCTATCAAAAGACTATTCGGCCGGCCCCGCGGCTTAGCGGTTAAGTGCACGTGCTCCACTACTGGCGGCCCCGGTTCAGATCCCGGGAGCGCACCGACGCACCGCTTCTCCAGACATGCTGAGGCCGCGTCCCACATTCGCCAACTAGAAGGACATGCAGCTATGACATACAACGACCTACTGGGGCTTTGGGGAAAAAAGGAAGAGGATTGGCAATAGATGTTAGCTCAGAGCCGGTCTTCCTCTGCAAGAAAAAAAAAGAGGAGGATTAGCTTGGAGGTTGGCTCAGGGCAGATCTTCCTCACAAAAAAAAAAAAAAAAAAAA